CAAGATGGCTTAAAGACTTAAACATAACACATGATACCATAAAACTAGAAAAGGATATAGGCAAAACATTCATTGACATAAATCGCAGCAATGTTTTCCCAGGTCAGTCTCCCAAGGCAGTAGAAATAAAAGCAAAAATAAACAAATGGGACCTAATCAAACTTATAAGCTTTTGCAAAGCAAAGGGAACCATAAACAAAATGAAGACACAACCTACAGAATGGGAGAAAATATTTGCAAACAATGCAACCAACAAGGGATTCATTTCCAAAATATACAAACAGCTCATACAAGTCAATAACAAAGAAACAAACAATGCAATCAAAAAATGGACGGAAGACCTAAACAGACATTTCTCCAAAGAAGACATACAGATGGCCAACAGGCAAATGAAAAGATTTCCAACATCACTAATTATCAGAGAAATGTAAATCAAAGCTACAATGAGGTACCACCTCACACCGGTGAAAACGGCCATCATTAAAAAGTCTACACACAAACGCTGGAGAGGTTACGGAGAAAAGAGAATCCTCCTACACTGTTGGTGAGAATGTAAATGGGTGCAGCCACTATGGAAAACATTATGGAGGTTCCTTAAAAAACTAAAAATAGAGTCACCAAGGGGGGAGGGTATAGCTCAAGTGGTAGGGTGCATGCTTAGCATACACAAGGTCCTGGGTTCAATCCCCAGTGCCGTCCCTAAAAATAAATAAGTAAACCTAATTACCTCCTCCCCCTACCAAAAAAAAAAAATAGAGTCACCATATGATCTAGCAATCCTACTCCTGGGCATATACCTGGAGAAAACTCTGATTCAAAAAGACACCTGCAGCCCAATGTTCATAGCACTCTATTTACAATAGCCAAGACATGAAAGCAACCTAAATGTCCATCAATAGATAAACTGATAAAGAAAACATTTTATATATATACACACACACACACACACACAATGGAATACTACTCAGCCATAAGAATGAAATAATGCCATTTGCAACAACATGGATGGGCCTAGACATTATCACACCAAGTGAAGTAAGTCAGAAAGAGAAAGACAAATATCATATGATATCACTTACATGTGGAATCTAAAACTATGAGACAAATGAACTTATTTATGAAACAGAAACAGACTCACTGACGTAAAAAACAAGTTTATGGTTACCAAAGGGGAAAGGGGATGGGGGAAGAATAAATTAGAAGTTTGGGATTAGCAGATACAGATTATTACACATAAAATAGACAACAAGGTCCTACTGTATAGCACAGAGAACTATACTCAATATCCTGTAATAAACCGTAATAGAAAATACGCAAAAAAAGAACAGAATATACAAAAGAATATGTATATATATGTGTACAATTGAATCACTATGATGTACACCAGAAACCAGCACAACATTGTAAATCAACTATGCTTCAATTAAAGAAAAAAATGGAGTCTCACATTAAGTGAACGCTGTTTGGAAAGCCCTGACCTAAAGCACGCCTCAGCCTGGACTACTCTCCTGAAGTTAAGATCCTAAAATGCCTGATGACAGTTTAATCTAAAAGCAGGAGAGGTACTTCTAAAAGCAGAAGCGATTTAACAATAAAATCTCCTATCCGTGACGACATTGGAAAGCTCCCACACACCATCTCAGCTCATCTTCCCTGCCATCCCACGGGAGAGGCACTTCAGGATCCCCATTTTAGAGATGAGGAAACTGAGGCTCAGAGAGGGTGTATGTGGCCCATGGTTGTGAGTGGCAGAGCAGGGTCTAGGAACCCCTCCCAGTTCCTTGCTCCCCTCCTGTCTGTGAGTGGAAGGGAGACCCGGGCGGGGCATGGGAGGCAGTATACAGGGGCCCAAGACTCACCCTGCCTAGGCACGAAGTCAATCTTGACCTCTGCAAGAGAAGGAAGTGCAAGTGGCACCAGGGTGACGGCAGGGCCCAGCAACAGGGGCCCTCACCGCCCCCGGCACCGCTCACCCATGAAGTGGAGCTTGGCAGACAGGTTACAGGCAAAGCCTTCAGGCACAAAGCTGTAGTCTGCCTCGTCCGCAGGCGTGACGTCGTCAATGGTCAGCTTGTGGACCCTGCAGGGCAGCGGCGGCTCAAGAGACCCTGCCGGGCCCCACACTCCGGCCTCACCGGACTCCCAGCCAGGGCTCCAAGGGGTCCTCAACCTTCTCCTGCTCAGTGGTGTTCTAAAGTGCTTGCTTTCTGTTTTTGAATTTTTTCAACTCCCTTGCATTTTTCTGAGGTAGGCAGTGTAGAGGTATTCCCTTGGCTGGGCCCTTAGAGACTGGGCAGGGGCCGGTCTCATTAATCTCTGTGACCTTGGGCCCAGCACGGGCCGGCCCAGATGCTCTGGGCATGAGTAAGAGAGTGGGGGAGAGAGACAGGGCTCCTGGCCAGAGCTGTCCCCCGGGGCCTCTTGCCCTGCCCTGGTCACGAGTTGGGGGAGGGGGTTGGGGGGCTCCCAGACTGTCTGCTTGTCTCACTGCTTCATCTCTGTCTGTCTCCCTCCTCCTCTGTCTCTGATGGACTCTCCTCTATATGCTTCTGCCTCTCCATCTCTCTGTCTCTGTCTCCCTGTGTATCTCTGTTTCTATTTGTCTCTCTCCTGATTCTGTGTGTATATCTTTCTGTCCATCTGTTTCTCTGTCTCTCTCTCTCTCAGTCTCTGTCTTTGTCTCATTTCAGTCTCAGTCCTGTCTCTGTCTCAGTGTCTGTCTCTTTCTGTCCATCTCTGTCCATCTGTCTTTGTCTCTTTTTCTTTCTCTCCCTCTGCCTCTCTCTCTGTCTGTCTCTCCCTCTTTTTCTGTGTCTGTCGCGACCTCTGTTTTTGTCTATCTCTGTCTCTCCCTCTGCCCCTGTCTCTGTGTCTGTTTCTCTCTCCCTCTGTCTCTGTCTCTCCCTCTGTCTGTGTCTCTATCTCAGTCTCTTGTCTTTCTCCCTGTCTGTCTCTCCCTGTCTATCTCTGTCTCTCCCTCTGCCTCTGTGTCTGTCTCTCCCTCTGTCTCCCTGTGTCTCTATCTCAGTCTCTGTCTCTCTCCCTCTGTCTCTCTGTGTATCTGTCTCTGTCTCTGTCTCTGGCATGCCCTGCACACTCACCGCCCGATGTGGGACACCTTTATGCGGCTGTCAGGCACCAGCTCCTTCCCGTTCTTCAGCCACACACCCCGCACGTTCTCATCCGACACCTCACACTTGAACACTGCCTGGTCCTTCGAGCCCACCGTCAAGTCTGCAATGCTCTGGTACACCTCCAGCTTTTTCTCTGGTGGGGGCAAGGCAGAGCCAGTGAGCTGGGGAGGGCATGTGTGGGCGTGGATGTGAATCCCTGCAGAGATTCCACAGGCATGTGAAAACACAGGAGCGCCTGCATGTGTGGTGTGTGTGCCTGTGATGGTGCTGTGTACACAAAGAATCTCAAGTGTTCAGGGGGGTGGGTAATATCAACCAGGACCATCTGACCACCCCCAATCCCCTCTAGGGGGGGGTCACTTCAGCATCCCCATTTTACAGATGAGAAAGGTAAGACTTTGGGTGTCAAAGTGACTTGTCCAAGGCCACATGGGCCCCAATCCCAGGTTTGCCTGATTCCTGTACATGGCCGGGGGGCTGGGGCTGAGAGGGCCTCCCTAGGCCTCACCCTGCACAATGAGCTCGGCCAGTGCCTGGCCCCCACTGGTGCGCAGTGCGTAGTGCCCAGCGTCCTCCAGCGTTGCCTCGTTAATGATCAAGTGGTGTCTCTGGCCATCCTTCTTGAACCGGTATTTGAAGGTCTCCTCTCGAGTCAGCTCCACTCCATCCTTCAGCCTGGCCGGAAGATGGGCAGCAGGTGCCAGGGCCTCCTTGGGGATGTCCCCTGGCCCTCGGCCCTGCCCCGTCCCGAGCCCCGTTCCTCTGGCACTCACCATTTGACCTGGGCCCCCTCCTCAGACACTTCACACTCAAACTCCACCCGCTGTCCCACCATCACCAGCTGGTCCTCCAGGGGCCGAGTGATCAGCACAGGGGGCTCTGTCAAGGCAGAGAGAGTGTGATAGATGGGCCACTCTGTGGCCCCTGCCTCTCCTCCCAGGGTCTCAGGATCCAGGGCCCACCTTTGACGAAGAGCTCAGTGCTGCACTTCTCGCCACCCACCACACACTGATAGGCCGCGTCGTCCGCCAGGGAGCACTGGCTGATGGTCAGCGTACGCTTGGCACCAATGGACTCGAAAATGTACCTGGATGGGGCCAAGGGGGAATGGCGGGAGAGCCATGGATGCCTGGGTGCCCCTTCAAACCCCTGTCAGGACCCCCATCCCCCCACCCCAAGCTTTCCATGAGCCTTACTTGCTTTGGATCAGAAGGTGCCATTGGAGAATCCCCGATGGGAGGACGTGAGACCAAGAGAAAATGAGCAGGGAACAGAGCCGGGAAGAACCAGAAAGATGGGAAATTAGAGCCAGAGAGAAAAAGAGAAATAGCAGGAGACAGAGATAGGGAGCAAGGGCCAGACAGAGACCATGGGTGGAGGCAGGGAGAGCAGGACTGGGGGGCAGCCCTTTCCCTAGGGCTCCCTCCACATCCTGGCCGCACCTGCCACTCATTTGGATCTCCTGTCCATTCTTAAGCCACTTGACCTCGGCGTCGGGGTCGGCCAATTCCACGGTCAGCCGGATCTTCTGGCCCTTGCTCACCTGGTAGGCCGGCTGCAGCTTCTTCTGAAAGGCTGAGTGACTCCCCCTTAGCCCCCGGCTCCCCAGCCTACCCCGGGAAGGAGGGCATCGTCCTGCCTCCTGCCCCCCCCAACCCAGCCCTCGTCTCTCTCTGTGCCTCCACTGTGACTCTGTCTCTTTATATTTGTCACCTCCTAGTCTTCTTGTCTCCCTTGGAGTCCTCTCCACCTGCTTAGCTCAGGGATAGGGTTCAGAGCTTCCAGACAGCGCTTAGCAGGAAAATGGGTGATGGGACAAATGGGCCTTCTCCTCTTGGCTCTGTTTTAATACCACCCCCAGTTTTACACCCTCCTCCAAGGCACCCCTGCTGTCTCAGCTCAGTTTCCAGGAGCT